ATGGTAAAACGAATAAAAATAGTAAAACGCATTCGAAAAAACGGCGCTTAACAGTCTACGGATGCATATCAATAACCACGGGAGAAGTTTCATACTCTTCCTTAAGATAAACAATAATCGACGTCGTTCGTTCACACTAACAATTCGTGCATCACCTATGCATTGACACAACGCCTAGGCCATGTGAAATTTACTTACCAGTTCATCCTTGGCGGCGAGCTCCTTCCGCATTTCATCCAGTCTAAGATCCTGTTCAGCCTTCTGTTTGGCTAAACCTTCGGCTAGCGCCCCGCGTCCTTCCGCCTCGATCGATAGGCGCGCTAGGCAGTCCGAGAGCTCGGCTACCTCAGCCTCCCTCGATTCCAATTGACTGTTGATACGCGATATCTCGGCTGAAACATGGAGGTGATCGATTAGTAGCCATTAAATGTTTTGCATTCAGAGCAGAAAAAGCTATTTTACCTTGCTCAAACCAGGAATCGGCCTCTTTTCGTTCCTCAGGCACAACAACCTGTCCGTCCAATAGCGTCAGCGATCGCAAGTGGAAAATAGCGAAAGATCGACAGCACTGTTTAAAAACAGACTCCTGTTGGTCAGTATCGGCGCTGGACTTCGAGGAACAGATGGAATTAAAGTGTGCGTTTTCTGGGTCGGTGGCTGGGTTTCCTCTTATCACGAGTTCCGTTAGATTAGGTAGACGCCGAAGCTTTGTCAAAATGTGGAGCTATATTTGGAGCAATTGAAAGTGAATCCCCATCTTGAATGCAGACGATTCTCAAAAAGGACTTACGTTGTCAATTCTGTTATATCCGACTTGCAAACATTTAAGAGAAAAAAGATTGTGTTGAAACCACGAAGGGAAATCATGCAGCTTGTTGTGGTTAAGATAGAGTCTCTGAAGATTTTTTAAATTTTCCAAGCCATTTAACCGCGAAATGCAATTTTGATTTAAATTCAGACATTTCAACCGGGTTAAGCTCTTTAATCCCTCAAGATTCTCAATGCTGTTGCCAGAGACATTTAGGACCGTGAGGTACATGAGACCTTCTAAATGATCTAAGTACTAAAGTCCATAAATTAGCACTTTCTAAGACAAACTAACGACTATTTTATATGGCGCTATAACATTTGCCGTTAGGCAAAGGTGATGAACAGTAGATAAGTCCTGTGTTTTGGTGTAGCGACGCAAAAAGTCTTCATTGATGTATTGCACCGGATATTCTAAAACATCTCAAAGCCAATTCCAAAAACATACTTTCCAAAGTATTAAATGGGATTGAACCATCGGGTCCTGTCAAAGAAAGGGCAGACATGGCCACTGAACTAAACTGATTTATCGCGTACCTCCAAGGTCACGCGTCTTGTTTCAGAGAGCCACCCATAATTGTAGTGAACAAAAACGCAACTTGAAAGATTTTATCAACATTTACAAAAAAAGGTCTGTATACATTTACAAATGTGTACTAGCTAACAGGATTATAACACAAACGTCCTCTTGGACACTGGTGTTTGTGATGAACCTCTACTATGTAAATGAGGTAAGATTAGCTAGTGGCATTTTGAATCTGCCACGGTTTCATACTCCGCGGACATAGCATTACAAGTGTAATGACAGTATCGTAATGCTTTGTTTATGTGACTATCTCACGTTTGGTGGTCACTTTAGAACTTGTCTGAGACCCGTACACGTAGGCTGGCCTTCGGGCCGCGCTCAGGCCACATTTCTCCTATTGTTTTCGGAATACATGTATTCAGCCTCACTTATCCTTTTTACTACCCCATTTGGAGCATCGGGACGCTACACTGGTGGCAGCGGAAAGCGAACCCTACATCTTATTAGCGACTTTTAGGTATAAGGTACTTTTGAAAGCGACATAGTGTGCGGGAAGATGTGTTGCCCAACAGACATCACTGTCTTACTGACATCCTACGTTTGCCTGGCTAAACTTTGCCAATTAGCCGACTGATTTCCGGAAAAGAACAGTACGAACAAACCGACGAGCAACAGTTCAAATGGATGATGCACTGGTTCAATACAGACAGATACCTAAAAATCGGGTTCCCTCGGCCGGAAAGTCGAAATCTCTATTTCCACGAAATGAAGGTTATAATCCAACCAGGAGACGAGACTGCAAACGAATTCTGCTTCTTAGGGGAGAAATCCAAGATTAAGAAGCGCATTCTGGCAATCATGAGCTATACATGCGCAGAAGGTAGTCTGACTATCTATCGAAGTGCAGTAGATAAAGATACAGGCGAAAACAGGACGTGAATTGAAGGGGGCGCATTTACCTTGAAGACGGAGGATCTCTGGACCCTTCACAACGAAAGGG